TATCAAACGTCTTGCATGTTCCAGATTTCTATCAAAATTTACTTTCTGTCTCAAAACTTACTGCTTCTAACAACTGTTTTGTTACTTTTTATCTTAATTGTTGCCTCTTTCAAGATCTTTGCAATGGCAAATTGAAAGGGTTTGGCAAGCATAGGCTAGGTCTTTACTTTTTTTATTCCAAATTGAAACTTTCCTCATTTGTATCAGATTTAGGACAGTTGAATAAGTCTGTTTGCCATACTGAGTAGTCATCACAGGTTGTACCTTGCGGGATGAATTTGAATAAAGTGCCTATTTCATTGTTATCATTATCTTCATCTCATAATTTTGCATTATGGCATCAAAGGTTAGGGCATGCCTCTTATTCCATTTTGCCTTTTATTCATCCTAGTTTGTCAAGGTCTAATATCCAAAATGGTTTACATCCTATGCATTGTCTTATCTGCCCTCTAGCTAAACAGACTAGATTACCCTTTTCTAATAGTACATCTCAAACATAGAAAAATTTTGATTTACTACATGTGGATGTATGGGTTCCCTATAAAACACCTACACATGGTAATGCAAGATACTTTCTCACTATAGTAGATGATTACTCAAGGGTTTCTTGGTTGTTTCTTATGCAATTCAACTCAGACACTTACTATACTATTAAACATTTCCTTCGTATGGTCCATACACAGTATAATTTGGTCCCAAAGTGCATTAGAACAGATAATGGTTTAGAGTTCTCTAACAAAACTTGTCATGATCTCCTAAGTAGTCAAGACATCATTCATCAAAGTTCCTGTGCTTATTCTCCTCAACAAAATGGCATTGTTGAGAGAAAGCACAGGTACATCTTAGAAGTTGCTTGGGCTTTAAAACTTCAGTCTAATATTCCCACTCATTTTTGGGGTTGTTATGTACAAACTATCGTATACATCATTAACATACTACCTACAGTAGTCCTTAGAGGTCAATCACCATTTGAAAAGTTTTTTGCCAAACCACTTTTTTTGGATCATTTAAAAGTCTTTGGATGTTTGGCCTATGCAAAAATCTTACCTTTTAAGGACAAATTGCATCCTACCTTCAGTTTTCTTGGGTTATTCTCTTACCCAAAAGGGGTATATACTATACAATTTATTTTCTCACTCTGTGTTTGTCACCAGGGATGTCATTTTCTATGAGAATGTTTTCCCTTTTACTTTGCCAACACCTTCCTCAAATTCTTTTCCTATTGATTCAGATTTCCTTGTTCCAGAGTTAGCTCAAACTTCTTCTCTGCAGTTTCTCCTAATTTTGTTCTTGTTCACTCCACTTCTACTATACCTAATGTTAATCATGTTTCATCTCCGATTCTTAGCAGGTCCAGTAGACTTACCAATCCTCCCATTTGGACACAAGATTTTGTTTGCCCTATAATACATCATAATCCTACAGCCAATACTTCTTATTATCCCATTACCAATTTTGTCTCCTATGCCAATGTGTCACCTTCCTATACAAAGCCTTATTGTCCAATCTTTCTTTGGTAGAACCCACTACTTTTACACAGGCCTCTAAAGATCAGAATTGGGTCAATGCTATGCAAAAGGAAGTTCAGGCATTATAAAACAACCACACCTGGTCTTTAGTACCTTTACCCCCTGATAAGTTTCCCATTGGTTGCAAATGGGTGTATAAACTTAAGTATAAGGCTGATGGCACCCTGGATAGTTACAAGACATGTTTGGTTGCTAAGGGGTATACACAGCAACTGGGATTGATTATGAGGAGACTTTCTCTCTAGTTGTAAAGATGGTTACTGTTAGAACAGCTTTGGCTTTGGCTTCCATGAATAATTAGCTACTTTATCAGCTTGATGTGGATAGTGCTTTCTTATAAGGGACTTGCAAGAAAAAATTTATATGACATTGCCCCAGGGATTTCCAAAGCAAGGGAGCAAAACCTTGTATGCAAGCTTCATAAATCCCTATATGGGTTGAAACAAGCTTCTAGAGCCTGGAATTATAAGCTGACTACAACTCTTTTGGATGGTGGTTTCCAACAATCCAAGTCAAATTACTCCTTGTTTCTCAAAAGGAATCAATCTCACATTGTCATGCTTCTTGTGTATGTACATGACATTGTGATAACAGACAATGATCCAGCTTTAATCAGTCAAACTAAGCAACTGCTACACAGCAATTTTAAGTTGAAGGATTTTGGTGTATTGAGATATTTCCTAGGATTTGAAGTAGCTAGATCATCTAAAGGAATCAGCCTCTATCAAAGGAAATATGTATTGGAACTAATCTCGAAATCAGGCTTATCAGGTTCTAAACCATCTTTGGTTCCCATGGAGTCCAATTTAAAACTCACATCAGTAGCATATGACCATCAGTTTCCTTCTGAAAATGCCAAGAATGATCCTCTACTTGTGGATCCAATTGTTTATCAAAGATTAATAGGTAAGTTGTTGTACCTATGTATGATCAGGCCAGATCTTAGCTACTCAGTTAGTCTCTTGAGTCAATTCATGCCTCAGTCCAAGCAGTCTCATATGACAGCAGCTCTAATTAAAGGTGGTCAAATATGTGGAATCAGCTCTTGGACTAGGTTTATTTTTTCCTGCTACTAATGCCTCGTCTTTATCAGCCTATAGTGACTCTGATTAGGGTTCTTGCTTGATGACAAGGAAGTCCATCACTAGATTCTGCATTTTCCTTGGCTCTTCTCTGCTTTCCTGGAAATCTAAGCTCCAAGCCACCATTTCCAAGTCTTCCTCTAAGGTCGAATATAGAGCTATGACCTCTACCGTATGTGAAGTCATTTGGTTAGTTCAGTTGCTCAAAGAACTTGGCTTCTCAAATATGCTTCCTGTTACCCTTCACTGTGACAACCAAGCTACCAACCATATTGCCTCCAATCCTATGCTCTATGAGAGGACCACACACATTGACATTGATTGTCATATTGTCTGGGAGTAACTCAAGAATGGTCTCATCACTATTGCCCATATTTCTTCCTCTGAACAGCCAGCCGATATTCTTACTAAAGCATTTGGCAAAACTCTTCATCATCACATGTTACACAAGTTGGGTGTGTTAAGACCTTTACCACCCTCCAACTCGAGGGGAGGTATTAGATTTAAAGGGCATCATTGTAATTTATTCACGCTAAGTTTAGTTACTTTAGAAGTAGTTGAGTTAGTTAACTCATTCCAGCTCAATTAGTAACTGAGCTAATGTGCTGTATATAAAGAAATAGTAATTCTTTAGTAAAGTGTAATTCATTTTTCCAAATTCAGTTACAATATATCGTTTGTTTGCTTTATCGACAATTACTTTGTGACATAACGTTTGTACTAGAAAATTCCACAGAGATGTCGCTTGCTAAAATCAACGATATTGAAAATTGATGGATGGTATAAATGTGTTACGAAACCAAGTAAAGATTTGATGATTTTTGTAGTCCCATTCTTCAAAGTGATTAAAAAAAAAAAAAATCTTCAAATTTATTTCTGAGCACGAATTGGTTCAGGTTTGTCATAACATCGAAGTACGACCCTTCAAGAAACTACACATAGCTTAAGCTCATAAAGTACAATTTGGCTCATCTAACATAACTTGAATAGCTAGGTTGATTGACATTGGTCCTTTCCATATGTTTTTTTTTTTTTTTTTTTTTTCTTGGACCAAACTAAAAGAAAAATAGAACTTGGAGTAGTAAACAAATATTATTAAAGCAATATAGATTAATACTTGAACCAGGGAACTCATAGGATATATCGTATCGCATTGAAAATATGAGGACTAAAAGAAGAAGACAATCAGTTGTCCTCACGCACAACAACGCCGCATGCGACTTATTCAAAGTGACGAAATTGACAACGTTTAGTTGGATTTAGATCTACAGAGGTCGAGCAAGTGATTTTCGAAAACTTTTTGTCCAGAAAATGCATTAATTCACCGAAAAATGTGATATTGTTTTAGAAAATATGACTCTGAATTTGGCGGTTTTCTAAGTCAATTGAGGCAGACTGATGATGGCTGATCCAAGATGGTTGGTGAGTGACTTTCACAAAAGTCCATGCAAGAAGTTTTTTGGAAAATAATTATTCGTATGGCTTTGATATTAGAGAAATAAATTGTGTATATATATATATGACTTATACAAATTACAGTACAATAGATAAGAGATGCATGTTTATATAGGTCGATTAAGTTCACCTCATTGGCATAATATCAAGTATACAATTAGAAAGAAGATAATTAAAATCAAAATTTTAATTACGCATGATAATGTTGAATCATTCTTTATTCAAATATTCAAGAATCAAGAAAAAGAAATTTAAAGCATTAGATAAAAGTTTTTTGTGTATGTGTAAGGTATTAATTTGTAATAAAGATTAGAATTGATAATTTTCATGATTTTTGCGTGCTTTTGACTGTGATTGATCGAGTAACTAGACACTTGATAAGGATTGACAAGTCTTCCATAGAAGATTTTCGATGCCTACCTATTTAAAGCCTAATTGTTTTCTCAGAATTAAGACAATAAACTAATTAAGATTTCTTTTAAGGAACCCAAGTATAAGAGAAACATTTATCTTGAATTTTGGTTGTAAGTGCTCTATTTATTGTAGGAACATATAATTTATACATGAATTCTAACTTTAGGATAAAAATAAAAAACACTCGAACAAAATTCTAACAAAGAGATTAAGATAAACTAAATCTCTAATATTCTAACTTATTCATATAAATCAAAAAAATTAATCAGGAGATAAACTAAACAAATTTGTGGAGCACTTTGTAGAGCATGTGACATTCACACTCTAAGCAATATTAACACTATGCAAGACCAAGGTTTCAATAGTAACTCCAGACCCCATTCCAACCCTTCTCCAGTAGTCTTTAGGCCATCAGCAATCGACTTATTTCTCATCTCATCCAAGACAAACAATACAGTTACACATGACATGTTACCATATTCAGCAAGCACATGCCTACTTCTCCAGCAGTCTTTACTCTTTAGGCCTCAACTTGTTCCAGAATTGCTCGCCCACCAGAATGTGCTGCCCAAAACACCGAGTTCCAATCTGAGATACCCAAAGGATGGAATACCTCAATTAGTCTATTCTCAGTGTGGTTTCCAATAAGATCAGGAGCTTCCTTTCCAATATGCATTATAAGACCGTGCTCACGAATAGTTTCACAAATGGCTCCAGCACTATTAGGCACTAATGTTTCTGTTGTAGAGACTAGTTCAACAATAGGTTTTTCGACACCAAGCATTGGATTTGAACCAACTATGATAGCAGCTGCACCATCACCGTACAAGGAATGACTCACAAAGAACATCAAAATCAGTTTCACTAGGGCCACGAACACCGAGTATAGTTGTCTCAGAGCAGACAATGAGAACAGGTGCACCTTTAGTGTTCTCAGCTAGGTCTTTTGCAATGCGAAGTACAGTGCCGCCCGCATAACAACCTTGTTGATACAACATGATTCTTTTAACAGATAGATCAATGCATGGCCTAAGAGCTTGACAACTTGATAGTCAAACCCAGGCATCCTTGGACCCATAGTGGTGCAGCAGATTAAGTGAGTGATTTTCGATGTGGATTGGCCCCATTCATTGATGGCCTTGTTTACAGCCTGCTTGCCTAGCTCTGATACTACAACTTCTGCCATATCTTGCCTAGTATCCAATGAAGGTGCCATGTATGCACACATTTTTGGGTTTATTTTCATAATATCATATGTTATGCGAGTGTGTCGCTTCTTTTATCATGGTTTTATCACCTGAAATGATAGGATATGCCTTGATTCTTTAGTTATGTCCATATATTTACAATAACAACTAGATATTAATATTCATACATAAAGAGATGCAGAAAATAAAACCTCTCATGTTATCTAGTATTTGTTCACAGTTCGCGTGCTTAGAGTTTCATTTATTTCATTTTCGTAATAAGATTTTGGGTTTTTCAAATTCAGAAAACAAGAAACATGTGTTCAAGTAATCTCTAGTTCCTAATAGGAAAACCAATTTCTACAAGGGAAGTCCAGCTCATGTTCTTAATGATCAAGGACCGTGGACACTGGATCAAGTTGCATTATTCAACTATTTTTTTTATCATTTCATTTCTTAACTCATTTTTCATTCTCTTTCCCATTTACATTTCGGCGGCTTATGAGTAATACTAGTCTTACAAAGAGTCATACAAAGAATCAAATCCAGCCCTTGAAAGAAGGGAAAAAAAAAGAGAGAAAGAGGCAATCATGAATTTCAATGGCTGGATTTGATTCTTTGTATGTCTCTTTGTAAGGCTAGTATTACTCTTCGTCTAATATGAGACGTCCTGCCTAGGTCGTCTAATACGACACAAATTTATGTTTAATTCTCCGCAAATATTGATAATCTTAAAATGATTTAGAAATTTAGAAAAGAAGAATCGTGCACTTGTATAAACTCTCTCGTTTATATGACATATCCGATAAACTTTCACATTATTTCATATCCAACGGTGAGGGCAATAGTTGTCACAGCATCCACAATTACATCATTCTCAGTTTGCCACATTTGCAGAGCCTTGCTCTAAAATATGGCTTGCCTTTTCATCTCATTGTTTCTCCAATTTCTACAATTTACATCTCTTCCAATCCAAAATCTAAGATACGGATCCCACATAGCACTCTCAAGCTGGCTAAAAATACATTTCCATTAATGGACTTCAGAAATCACCAGTAGTCTCCACAAGAGCAGATTCCTGCAACAATATGATGGAATCGGTTTTTATCCCTTAAAGACACTTTTCTCCCATAAACTTTGGACACAAACTTGGCAAAATTGTGGCAATCCACACAAATTCTGAGGTTTTTTATTAAGCGAATCGGCGTTCCCTCAGGAGTATTAACTAGCCCAAAAGTCAAAGCCAGTTTTTCACTGTGACCTAGTAGTACCTTCTCCTTTTGCTCCTCATCCACATCATATAAAACACAACTCAAGTCAGGGGCATAGCCAGCTTCCTTAAACTTGACTGACAACTCTTTCACTTTTGTATGTACCTCTTCTCTCTTTGGGTGGGAACAATCACTTGCATGAAATGTATGAAGCGTTTGGTCAAGCTGAATCCAGGTTCTGCCAGGCTCCTTTGTCACAGCCTTCTCCTTCATCCGTTCCCTCACAGTTCTAACATCTTCCCATCTCCCAACAGAAGCATATAAATTCGAAAGGATGATGTAATTTCCAGCATTTTCAGGCTCAATTTCTAGCAGACGTTGGCCTACATATTCACCAATATCAACATTAGAGTGAACCCTACAGGCTCCTAATAGAGAACCCCAAATAGCAGCAGTAGGTTCAAAAGGCATTTTCTGAATAAACTGAAATGCCTCTTCTACCCGACCAGCACGTCCAAGCAAATCAGAAACACAACCATAATGCTCAATCTCTGGCCGAAACCCATCTTTATGATTCACCATCTCATAAAAAATTTCCAGCCCTCTATCTTCCATTCCACCATGGCTGCAACCTGATAAGACAGCCAAATATGTGACAGCATCAGGTTTAACTTTGTTTTCTTCTCTCATCAATTCAAAGAGCTCCATCACTTCTCTGCCCATCCCATGTTTACTATAGCCCACAAGCATAGCATTCCATGAGATAACAGTTCTCTCAGACATGTTATTAAAGACCCTGCGTGAGTAGGTGAGGCTTCCACATTTTGAGTACATATCTATTAGGGAATTCTGAAGTACAACATATGAGGGCACTTCAAACCGAAAAATATGGTTGTGAACTTGTTTGCCATGATCCAACGCCGCAAGACCAGATAATGCAGTCAAAACACTGGCATAAGTAACATAATTTGTACTCATTCCTTCCATCTGCAGCTTCCGAAATAGCTCTAGTGCCTCTTCATCAAGACCTAGTTGGGCATACCCAGAAATTATTGCAGTACAAGAGACAACATCCCTTTCTGGCAAGCATTCAAAAACTCCTCGAGCTTCATGGATCCTACCAGCTTTGGCATACATATCGAGAAGTGAACTCCCAACATATATATGGGATTCAAAATTGCTCTTAATTATAAGAGAGTGGATTTGTCTTCCCAGATGAAACCCATAAATGCCAATGCAAGAAGTTAATACAGTTGCAAAAGTGAACTCATTAGGCTCGGTATCTGCAGAAATTTACATTTTATTGTCAGTAACAGGAAAACAGTAACTAAATATTAGATACAAACAGTGGTCCAAATAATAGAAATAAGAAATACCCGATTTTAACATCTGCAGAAAAAGATTCAATGCTTCAAAGGAATACCCTCGCTGAGAATAAGCCGAAATCATTGCAGTCCAAGAAACCACATTCCGTTCACGCATTTCATCGAACACTTGCCTCGCATCACCCAAACACTCGCATTTGTTATAGAAGAAAATCAATCTAGTTCTAAGGTATAGAGGCGGTAGATAACAAGTTTTGATCATGTGAGCATGGACCCTTTGGCCATCTCTAATTGTCCTTCGATTGAGGCATGCGTTTAACAGCGTGTCGTAACCTTCAAATTTCATTTCAAGGCCTAAAATGGCCATTTCTAAAAGGGCTTCTGATAGTTTACCGTCGGAGCATAGAGTTTTTAGAATTTGTAAATTTGGCGGGAAGGTGAAGAGGGTCAGTTGGCGCATATATGAAAATGGGCTTATGGCGGAAAATAGATCTAGTTTTTTGGGATGATTGAGAGAGCAATTCATTTTCGAGAGCCATTTCATGTTCTTAATTAGCAGTTAGAAGTGTTGAATAAATATTATGTAGTCTTACAGAATATGTTTGCCATTACAACAAAGGCTCAAGGGGCTAGTTTTTGTGGACTCTGGCCTTCATAATTTTAAAACCCTCGTTAGTTATATACTGGGGAACAGAGGGCTGAAATGAGTAACTAAACAAACTTTTGAATAATAAACTCCTACTCACATTCTGACAAAATCTACAATTCCACTCCATTCCATTATTTCCATTAAAGAATAACAATCATTCGGGATAGCGTGCTCTGCTATCCTTCTGTGATGTCACTGTTTGTACAAACCTGAATGGAAATTAAATAAAGAAATGTTAGTTACAGTCGAAGGTCTGAAGTCTAGGGGATTGTTCCATCTCTCTGTTTGATCGTCATCGTACCATCTCATGTTTACATTCTCAACCTCTAATCCTTTCATGTGTTCCATGATGATCCCAGCGGCACTGTGGTTTACAAGTCCCTGACATCCTGGTCTGTAGTCCACCAACCCGCCTGAATAATTTGTCCATCTTTTGTAACTGAGGTTCATGTTAATGAATTTCAAATTGTGTAGTAGCCCATGTTTCGAACCAGATAAGAATACACCATTTTCAGAATTTGCGGTGATGTTGATGAAGCGTAAATTAGAGATTGAACCCTCCAATGAATTAGAGTATCTCGGACAGGTTGTCACATATATCGGTTCTGCTCTCCCCCACCATGATGGATCATAGTATCTTGTGCTTATATTCATGTTGGAGAAGGTGATGTCACTAACATTTCCTGTACAAAGTAACTGGTTAATACTCCATTGTCAAGACTATCATATGAAAAAAAAAAAAAAAAGTTGTTTTCTTAAAGCAAATTGAGCTTCAAAGGTGTTTGTTGCTTGTCATTCTAGACCCTTACAAAGATTAAATATTATCTTCCAAAATAAAAATCTTATAAATTGCATAATCATCTCGTTACAGAGAAATCAACCAACTAAATAAACCTTTTTCTTCATTTCCTAATGTCTAAATTTCCAAAAATGCAGTAACAGTTTGAATGATCCTAAAACAGAAACAACCAGACAGATGTTGTTTTCTAGATTTCATTTTCTTACATATATTAGAAAAGCCCTGCCAATTGTGAAAGGATATTAAGCTGATGTTACCTCCATCGCGGATTTGCAGTGCTAATCCTCTATGAGAATCCACAATAGTGATATTGTCAAACACCAAACTCTTGAAATCAAACCAACTAGCACTACCAAGTTTGATTGCAGAAGACTTTGTCCTGATCCAACAATCTGTAACTGTCAAATTATACAGGGGCCCTGTGTATGTCTTTGGACAGATTGCATCATCTCCTGTATCAATCTTGCATCTGGTAATCACAGTGTTATTTGAATCCTCGATATCTATTCCATCATTGTTAGGTGTATTAAAGTCCCCATAAATTGAAACATTGTGAATATCCGTGTTTTCACAACTTACTATGTGCAAACTGCAACAACGTAATCTATTTGTCAGACAAAAACTCAGAATCTAAAACCATCCAAGGGTTGGATAAATTGAATCGACTGCATATCAGAGTATAATGCATTTCCTTTAACCAATACTTTCAGATACATATTCCAAAGACAAATGATTCAAGATATAACACTCAAAACATCATAGCTAAACTAAAGAGTTTGCATATCAAGACGTTTCAAGTTTTGTCATCTGAGACAATAGAAAACAAGTTAAAATCACAACAAAATAATTTAAACATTCAACACTAAACACCAATTCCAATTATTTTCAGATGGAGGTATGTAACTTGAGACCCCGCCAGCCCTCTCTGATAAAAAATCTTTGTTCTCACAATTCAATATTTCTTCTACCCACACCTTTGTATCCGTTATCATATAAGCACCTTACTACATCTAAATCTTTACTTCTGTTAAAAGTAACTGGTCAATCTATAAATTATCTAGTATCCAAAATTTGGTCAAACGGCATCTAGAATGAAAGGATGATGAATCCAATGGACAACATATTGTAGAGAAATTGAAATACATTGTCACACAAGCAACTGCAAAATTTAAGGGAAAGTGAGCTCGCAGTGAAACATTATAGCTTTATTTCTTCCAAACAGAGAAAGATTATAATTTATTTTATTTCACACGTTAGGTCGTTTCATTATTCATTAAAGAAAAGGTAAAATACTTGGTGTCAAAACTCTCTAAAGTGATATATAGTGAGTTCCAGAATAAAATTAAATACCATCCATAAAAATTAATTCAAATTTGAAAACAGGGCAAACCGATATTCCACAAAACAAAAAGAACAGTGAAAGCAAAAAAATAAAGGAGGATAAAAAATATAGCAACAGAAAATAACATTTCTCTAACATAAAACGGTCCACTGCTATCATTAAAGTGACAAAGAGGAGAATGACGTTGACGGTGGTAATTTGCCACTTACAGCAAGTGGGCATCCTTAAGCTGAGTCCACCATGCTTTTGCAGGGCCCATTTATTAAGAGTTTCCAAACACTCAAGATTCTATTATCACGCTTATCAAATTTATCTCAATTTTGCTTACAGTTTTTTATCATTCTTTTTGTGTTGAGTTTCCAAAAGCTCAAAGACATACATTAAGTTTCAAATTCTGGGAATGAAAATGCCAAAAGTTACTATTAAAAACAGTCTTCAACGGGAAATAAAGGGAAAATACGAGTATACTGACCACCAGTAAGCCGGCTCTCTTAACCTAACGTTCCAAACATTGACATTCTTGCAACCCAGAAACCCCACCAATCTTGGCCTACACTCATCACCGCAGCAAGCCCCCGTTTGGTTCCAACTCACCATCACATTCTTCTTCTCATTTTCTTTCACTACAAACTTAAGCCCCTGACCATCTATTACTCCTCCGCCCGTTATACCAACGTCACACGCGTTCTCCGCCAGCACCACGTACCATCTCGACGAATCTTTCGGGTAATCTTCGATCTCCGTGCCGCCCAGTAGAATCGCGTCTTCTTCGATGTTGAGGATCACGTGAGATTTCAAGCGGATGGTGGCGGTTAAGTATGTGCCACGTGGGAATGTCACGTGACATGGAATTGTGGAGGGACATGCGTCGATGGCCAATTGGATGGCCACGGTGTCGTAGCTGATGCCATCTCCGGTGGCACCGAAGTCGGAGACGCAGAGGGTGAGGGGAGGGGAGTGGGCGGAGATGGGGAGTTCGATGGTGGGTGGTGAGGTGTGAAGAATTGATTGGATGCGAGGGACTGAGATTAGGAGAGTGATTATTGTTAGGAGAGTGATTATTGTTAATAACTGGGGAGTAAAGTAACCATTTTTCTTATGGGAGTGGGTTGGCTGGTGGCTTCAAGTCTGCAGCTTTTTAATCATAGACCGTGGTCTTAACTTATCCTTTTGGTTTGGTTGCTTCAATTAGAGGCCAAATGGGACCAGTCATTCATGGGCCTGGGATCAGACTCAGGCCCATGAGAAAAACCAAGACCTGGACCAGGCCCTAGGCCTGGTCGGGACTAGTCCTATGGCCCAGGACCGGTCCCATGGGCTTAGATAATTTCATTTTCTCCTTTCAATTTTTTTTATATTTTGGGGGCAAAATGAAATTTTATAGGAGGTTTTTAGTATTTTTTAGGGGTAAAATTTACAAATTTTATAAATTTTTTGAAACTGGAAGATTTTTTTTTTTATAAATTTTATTTTAACCCTCGTAATTTATATTTATTTAAAATTAATAGAAGGTTTTATGTAATTTGGCAGGAGACTATATTGAAAAAACACAAAAAAATTTGGTCCCAGGCTCGGGCCTTGGAGGAGGGCCCAGTGGAGGGCCCGGGTCCTCCTCCTTAGGCCTGGTCCCGTTTTGGAACCAGGTCTCCTAGGACCGAACTGGTCCTAGGACCGAGTTTTGGAGCTGGGCTTTTGGGCCCGATCCCAAATGCCCAACTCTAGCTTCAATTATATTCTTACTATTATTTTATTTAAATTAATACGAATTGATTATCTTGAAAGTCTCAACCATTATTTAATTACTGTATTCAGGCGCATGAATATGACCTATATCAAAATCACTTTTTTGTGGATCCTAGTTGAAGGAGAAAAGCTAAAGCTATCAATACTTTGGTTTAGAAATCCAAAGGACTGTTTATTACTCATTACTACTGTTACGCCTAAAAATATAAGGGTTGACGTCAGGACCCTTTAGCTCACAAAAGTCAGACCATTGGAACAGGCACCGTCTGAGTCTGTCAGGGTAGTGAGCGCGCGTCAAGGTAGTGAGCGCGCGTCAGGCTAGTCAGGAGGTTGTGGTGCTCCCACGTGTCCAATCCCTGCTTTAAATCGCGCAAATCACTCTGGAAGGTGGGCAATGTGACATAAAGAAGAATTTACACAGATAATCCCACCAACTCGCAGATTTAGTGATGATTGCCTCAAGGCATCTGACTATAAATTAGGAACTCATCTCTCATTAAAGGGATTCGCACCTTTTTCACTCAATTAATTACTCTCTCTCTCTCTTTTCTCAGCAACCGATACCTTGTAATATCATTGTAAAGTCAGTCAGCTAATAGCGACCTGACTCCTATCATCAATATAAGCATCAGTGGACGTAGGACTCGCTACCTTTGCATCCGAACCACTTTAAAAATTGCCTTTATTGCATTTACTATCCCTCATCCATTATTTTCACGTGTGATTTCGGGGCCCCCTGCAGCATTTTGCACGTGCGTTTCGTTGGTGCAAAATCCAGCATCAACAGTTTGGCACTAGAAGGAGGGGCCTGATTTAGTGTTCATCCTTTATCAGGAGAGTCTCCAACTTACTAGTTCTACAGCAACGAATAGCCTGCCAACCAGAACATGAGCAAACCAACCAGGGTACTCAAGGGTCCCCCCAAGTTCAGGGGGATACCTCTTCCAAAAAACCTTCAACCCCGCAAAATGTTGTAGGAGATATCCCGTCAAGCTCACAGCTTGACCCCGCTATAAGGAGCTACCTAGAGAGGTTTGACAATACTCTCCAGACGGTCAACCAAAGGTTGGACCGTTTGGACCAAGGCACGCCATCCAAGTCAGCTGCGGCGGTACAACTGCCAAAAATGTCTGTAGGTCGCACGAAAGCGAGGCAAAGGGAAATAGCACGTGCCACGAGCGCTGCAACACGAAGGCGAAAGGGTAAGCAAGTGGTAAAAAGCAAGCCCACGGGCTCCAAAGGGCCAGCAAACACAGACCGCGTCCCAAGTAGAATACCAGTCTTGCTGAGACTCGGTGAAAAGACGCAGCCTGAGCTGTCCCACATCACGTCGCGGGTACATACCCATAAAAGTGCTGGACGAGTCGATTCTTATCACCGTCAGCAGGCCAATCCTGGTCGCCACCGTGCGAGAGGGTCCCACACTTCGCGGGGTGGTTCTTACCACCGCGAAGGTCGTGAGAATGCCCTGCACCTCTCATCGCCATCGCACACCTCTAGTCAGCGTGTGTCGAGAGTGGCTGGAACTGCCAGCCGAGGCGAAGAAAAGCCCGACCTCAGGGCATTCCTCAATCGTAACCGCGAGAATCGAACTCGCGTGGGTGAAAGCAACCCCCAAGCGGCTCCGCTGCCGCAAATCAAAGAGCTGCAGCGAGCTCTAGACAAGCTAAGGGCCTAGCAGAACGAGCAGGGACAGGTCGCATATGCGTCCCCCTTCTCTCTCGAGGTGTTAGCCACTCCACTCCCGCCAGGATTCAGGATGCCCAACATGCGGGCGTTTGATGAAAACTCCAATCCGCAAGATCATCTGTACGAATTTAACGACCTGATTGAGCTTCACCAGGTCTCAGACTTGGCAAAATACCGCTGTCTAGCAATAACATTGACCTCCCATGCCAAACGATGGTTCAGGTCACTCCTAGTAAGGTCGGTCAGTTTGTGGCCTCAGATGAGCACGACGTTCCTCAGGCATTTTCAAGCGAATCGGAAGTTTTCAATGCCTTCGAGCTACCTTAGCAACATAAGGCAAGAAATGGATGAATCACTCCAGTCTTACATTGACCGTTTCCACAGGAAACTCAACAAGGTGGCTCATACCCCCAAAGAGTCTGTTCAGACTCTCATTATAGCCGGGGTTCGCCCGCAAACCGACCTGTGGAAGGAACTACAAGCTGAGGACGATGTCTCCCTCATAGGATTCTACAACCTTGCAGAGAAGTACCTCCGAATAGAAAATTCGTTGGCGGCACTATGCCATCGTGATCCCGGCGCATCAAGCATTATGTCTAGTCGGGGGGAAAGTAGAAGAGCTGATCGCAGAGGGGACGCTGACGATCAGCGAAAAGGGAAGAAACCCCGCTACGAGCATAAGAAGTCCTATGCTCCTGTTCCTCGTCGCGACCGTGACAAGGCTCATTATACTCCCCTGAATGTGTCTATATCAGCCATTCTTGATAAATTCGAGGAGGCCAGCCTGCTTGGTGAACCAGAGCCCATGAAAACTCCTGCGACAGCCAAAAATAATAAAAAATACTGTCGCTTTCATCGGGACAACGGGTATCACACAGATGAATGCCGAGCTCTAAAGCAAGCGATCGAAGAGCTCATCAAGAAAGGGTACTTCAAGGAGTATATTGATGACCCCACTCCTGCAAAAGAGAAGAACCAAGAGGAACAAGGAAGAAAGCGTCGTGATCGCCGTGGGTATAGCAGCGTTAACATAATCTTTGGAGGATCGCACCTCGCGAGAAACACGCGAGGCGCGCAGGAAAGGTACACTCGCGAAGCCCATCACGACCCGATCAGGGTGATGAGCACATTGTAACGACCACAAAAGGCTCGAAAGGAGGAGCCGATTGCCTTCTATGAGAAGGAGGCAGCTCGTTTGCATCATCCTCACGATGATGCCCTCGTGATCACGCCCCTAATAAGATGCCATAATGTCCGCAGAATGCTCGTGGACAACGGAAGCGCTGTGAACATCCTGTTCCAGACCGCTTTCGAAATAATGAACTTGGACGAGGCCGACCTGAAGCCCGCTTCGATCCCTCTTTACGGCTTTACAAGGGACCACCTGATCCCCAAAGGAACGATCCAGCTCCTAGTCACGCTCGGCGACTATGACAAGGTGATTAGGGTTACTGAATTCTTGGTCGTGGATTGCCCATCGACCTTCAATGGAATCTTAGGGCGACCTTTGTTGAGAAGCTTCAAGGTAGTCACTTCCATATATCATCTCAAGATGAAGTTCCCAACTCCAACGGGGATAGGGGAAGTGAGCGGATCGCAAAGCGCATCTCGCGACTGCTACATAAAAGCAGTGCAAATGGCGTGTAAAGGAAAGGGCATTTCACGATGTGTGCCCTGCCAGGCTATGGCAATCAGCCAGATCGAACCGCAGCCTGGCCCAGCAGAGGATAATATAAATCCTCGAATCCAGGAGATCCCTCCCAGCGGCCGGGTTGAGGATCTGTCTGAAGTTTCGGTTGATCCAAAAGAACCGAGCCAAGTGTTAAAAATTGGAAGCTGTCTCAACCCCCAGGTTGCGTCCGAGCTAATAAGCTTCCTGGTCGAAAACATCGATGTGTTTGCCTGGTCGCATTAGATATGGTCGGGATCAGCCCGGACATCATTTGCCATGCGTTAAACATCGACGATGAAGCCAAGCCAGTTCGCTAGAAAAGAAGAGCAATGGATCCAGAGCGGTATGTCGCCTTGAAATTAGAAGTGGATAACCTCCTCCGAAATGGATCCATCCGAGAGGCACTCTACCGACCTGGGTCGCCAACCCGGTCTTGGTAAAGAAGCCAAATGGTAAGTGGTGAACCTGCATTGACTTCAGCGACCTCAATAAGGCTTGCCCTAAAGACAGCTTCCCCCTGCCAAGAATTGACCAGCTCGTGGATGCCACCTCAGGGCACGAGCTGCTTAGTTTTATGGATGCATACTCGGGATACAATCAAATTCTGATGTATGGGCCGGACGAGGAGCATACATCCTTTATTAATATCGGGGGCTGTATTGTTACAAAGTTATGCCTTTCGGCCTCAAGAACGCTGGCGCGATCTACCAGTGATTGGTTAACCGAATGTTCTCTGACCAGATTGGAAGAACAATGGAAGTTTATGTGGACGACATGCTAGTCAAATCCCAGGTCGCCTCAGAGCACATTGCGTATCTCGTTGAGATGTTTAACATCCTCCGGTTGTATAAGATGAAGTTGAATCCTCTCAAGTGTTCATTCGAAGTATCATCAGAAAAGTTCCTAGGGTACATGGTTAACCAGTGGGGGATAGAAATAAACCCCGAGAAGATTCAAGCTCTGCTCAACATGGAGAGCCCGACCAGCAAAAAGTAGATCATGTGCCTTAACGGGCGAATAGTGGCACTTAGTCACTTCATATTAAGATTAACAGATCGCTTCTTGCCATTCTTCAATGTCCTAAAAGCCAACAAGAGGTTCGAATGGACACCCAAGTGCGAACAGGCGTTCCAAAGCATAAAAGAACATCTCGGGAAACCACCTCTCCTGTCCAAGCCTTTTCCGCAAGAAATCCTACTTCTGTACCTGTCCGTTTCTCAGTTCGCAGCCAGTGCAGCTTTGATTCAAGAAGAGGAAAAGGCGTAGTGGCCAGTATACTATACAAGCAAACGACTGACGGATGCCGAGATGCGGTATCCGAAAATAGAGCGATTAGCCTATGCCTTGCTGATCGCCTCCAGAAAGTTGCGACCTTACTTCCACGCCGATACCATCCATGTGATGACTAATTACCCACTCAGGCAAGTCCTTCAAAAGCCAGAAGCATCGGGTAAATTGCTTAAATGGGCTATGGAATTAAGTCAGTTCGATCTCAAGTATAAGTCGAGGTCGACTATAAAAGGGCAGGTAGTTGTTGACTTCATCTCAGAATTTTCCTATCTTCCGAGCGAGCAACAGCCTGGCGAAGCCATTCAGGAAGATATTCAGAACCTGTCGACCTGGAGCCTCTATGTCGACGGGTCATCGAACAGAAAAAGGGTCGGTGCCAGTCTCCTTCTCTTGAGCCCTAAAGAGGCTCGCATTCATGGCATTCTTCGGTTTGGATTTAAAGCGACCAACAACGAGGCTGAGTATGAAGCTCTGCTCGCCGGGTTGCGGTTGGCCAGAGAAATGGTCACAACCATGATCAGTGTATACAGCGATTCCATGCTGGTCGTCAACTAAATTTTTTGGGAAATATCAAGCCAAGGAAGAGAACATGGTCCGTTATCTGAAAGAAGCCAAGGCCGCACTCGAGCCGTTCAAACATTATAAAATCACGTAGATTCCCAGAGACAACAACTCTGTGGCGGATGCCCTGGCAAGGATAGCCTCGTCGTTAGACTCAGAGGCACTAGAAAGCATTCCTGTTCGGCTCGTCGAAACCCCAAGTATTAGCTCGATCGAACAGGTCGTGAATGCGACTCATTTTGATTCCTGGATGACTCCCATTTTTCTGTACCTCAAGAATGGGATCTTGTCGGACAACAAGGTCAAGGCAAGGGTCCTGCAAACAAGATCTGCTCGCTATACCCTCATCGGGGACCAGCTGTATAGGAGGGGATTTAGTGCCCCTCTCCTTCGATGTGTAACCAGCGAAAAAACTTACTACATTATGAGGGAAATTCACGAAGGGATCTGCGGTAATCACACCGCCGTGCGATCTCTTGCAAACAAGGTTGTTCGTCAAGGGTACTATTGGCCCCGAATTCAAGATGACGCTCACGACTTTGTCAAGAGATGTGATAAGTGTCAGCGGTTCGCAAGCATACCGCGAGCTCCCTCCCACGAACTGATAACTATGACTAGCCCCTGGCTTTTTCCATGTGGGGGATCGATCTCATTGGCCCCTTGTCAGTTGGAAGAGGGGGAGTCAAATATACCGTGGTCGCGGTAGATTACTTCACCAAGTAGGTAGAAGCCAAACCGCTAGCCACGATCACGACAAGAAAGCTGAAGGACTTCGTTTTCAAGAATATTGTGTGCCGTTTTGGAATCCCTCATACCCTCATTTCAGATAATGGAAAATAGTTCGACAATGAGGAATTCAAACAGTTTTGTGACAAGCTGGGCATCTATAAGAAATTTGCCTCTGTGGCGAGACCGCAAGCAAATGGCCAAGTTGAAGCTGTCAACAAAACCATCAAGCACACTCTGAAGGCAAAGCTTGGCACAGCTAAGGGGAATTGGGCCAACGACCTCCCCGAAGTCCTATGGGCATACCGAACAACTTCAAGGACCTCCACCTCGAAACACCTTTTTCGCTGGCATACGGGTGTGAAGCAATGATTCCCATCGAGGTAGGAACTGGTTCACTTCGGAGAGACTTGTACAAGGAGACAGATAACGAAGCACTCATAAGGGCGAGCCTGGACTTTCTTGAGGAACATCGCAGCAAGGCTTCGCTAAGGATAGCAGCCTATCAGCAACGGGCGAAGAAGTTCTTCGATTCAAAGGTCTGGTGAAGAGACTTCCAGGTCGGTGACCTGGTGTTAAAAGAAGTTCTCCTCGGAACCAGAGAACCAAACGCGAGAGTTTTAGGGCCGAACTGGGAAGGTCCGTATCGCATTGATAAAGTAATTAGACCAGGGACTTATCATCTTAAAAGGCTAAACTAAACGGTTCCAAGGTACCTCGGGCCTGGAATGCTGAACATCTTCGGCCATACTACCAGTAATTCCAAACTTAGCTTTCCTTGTAAATTAATTTCTGATTTTTTGTAAGTCATTTCTTTGTAAAGTTTTTATCTTGAGCGTCTGTACACGATCTCTGTGTATAATCCATTTTGTGTGAATAAGTTATGTCATCTTTGACTCAATGAATGTAAACAATTGGAAAGAACTCATGTATGATAAAGCAAACAGAAAATTGTAAAGGCAAAAATGTATTTCATTGCTATAAAGTACAGCAGGAAGGAAGACATGATTACAAGACTTAATCTAGCCCCTACGGGGCCGACCTCCTCGTCCTAGGGTTGGTCGGTCGAGGGTTTGTCCGCTGCGTGACCTGAACCTTCTGGTCGGAAGGCCGCCGCTTCATCATCCTACCGTGCCATGGACATAAGTGTTCCCTGCCAGTCTGTCGGGACTTCGGACATGTCTAAAAGAGGATTCTTTGGTCGCAAGGCATAAATAGAGTCGATTGCCCATTCGGCAGCCTTCTCCTCAACCTCCTCTGTCAAGGAAGCAACTTTCCCTTGACTCTCCTGAAGTTCAACTTCAAGAGCATGCCTTAGCTTCTCAAAGGCCTCTCTCTCCTTTTCTGCTCGCGTGACCTGCAAGGAGGTCGCTTTCAACTCCTGGTCCTTCTTCCCGGCCAGTCTGGAGAAACTGGCTACGGTCCTTTGCAGCTCCTTTATCTCATCCCTCTGCTTCTCAAGCTGCGCTTTCTAGAAATCCACCATGCGAAGAGCCGCATTTCTTTCGTTCAAATAGCTGTTCGCCGATTTGAGAGACAGGTTTCTCTCTGCTTCGGCAGCTTCCAAGCTTCGTTTAAGCACTGCGTTCTCTTCCTTCAGGGTAGCACCTCCCTTCGCAGCTCCCAGTTGTGCCTTTTCCATGGACATCTTCATGGAAAGGAGAGCATGCGAACAAAAGAAGAAAGAGTTAGGTAATCAAAAGAAGTTAAGTCCTTGTCGAGGACAGTTCGCTTACCTTGCTCATATGCTGGATCGATGTGGACATGAGGTCCACGTCGCTAGAACTTGCGAACTGCTCGAAAGATTTCGAAAGTCCGCATTACAGCAGGGCATACACCACCAACTGCAGGTACTCCGGCAAATGCCCCAGCAAGTCCAATATTGATGGACCTTTCTTCATGGCCTCAGCAGCCGTCGTGTCGTCCATAGGCGCCTTGCCCGACTTGCTCGCATCCGGTTGCGACCTCTTTGGCTGCTCGCTTTCAGATTCAGTATTTGATTCCTCAGCCTGAATCTGTTTCCTTTTTTTCCGCTGGGCCACGGTTTTCGTCCTTAGCCGAGCAGGCGATGGCTAGGCGACCTTCGTGGTTCGCGTTGGTGCGTCCTCTGCCAGCTGTGGCTGGCTCGAGGTCGCGCCCTCAGCCTAGGAGGCTGTTCGTGCAGCTTCGGCCGCCTTAGCTTTCTTCGTCCGAGGAAAGTTGATGGGCCTTTGGCGAGGTTGCCCTGGTTCCTTTGGCGGCATGGTTGTTGCTGCATGCAAGGCGAGGTTAGTGAAGGTATTATGTTCCACGACCAAGAAAAGAGTCAGTTAAGGAAACTTACATTGTGGAGGTTCTAACGACGCGTTGGCGTTAAAGAAACCGTACTTCCACAAATTCGCGGTTGTCACAAGTGTCCTCGCGTCGCGCCTGTCTTCAGGAAGGGAGCCGAACTGCAAGATTCTTCTTCTGTCATGGAGCAGCCCTAGCTCAGTTGTCTTGAAAGAGAAATTAGGTCGTTAGAGCGAACACGCTTCGAGCGCAATAAGTTTGTCAAAAACAAAACAAAAATACAAACAAAGAGAAAGAAACCTACTCGGATCCTGGAAGCGGCAATGGCCATCGTAACGAAAGAAGAAAAACTTCGTTTCGTAGGCCCCCGCGTTGCTGGGATAACTGTGTATCCCGTCGGCAATGGTAGGTCGCCTGGACAAGTAATACGAATCCTTGTCCTTACTCTTCTTTAAATAATACGAGTAGCCGAGCTCCAAGGTTGTCAGTTCGCCTAGTCCGTTCTCCCGACACGCGATGTACATTGCAATAGCAATGACGTACGCGTTCGGGGTCAACTACATCGGCGCGACCCCAAAGTGGTCTAAGAACGACCTGATGAAAGGGTGCAGGGGGATAAGTCCTCCACCCTTGATAATCTCCTCGGAGATCGCAGCCAAGCCTTTTGAAGGGTATCGCGACGAGTGCGTCAGCTCGTGGAATACGTCCACTTCGATGCCGAATTGGCTTTTTACCCTCTCAAGTTCTTCCTCGGTGAATACCGAGAAAACCTCAAGAGGGATGCTAGGATCACCATGCGGGGACGAGCTGGTTCCCTGCTCAGGTCTGGTATCTAAGTGGTCCATTTTGCCAGTCTGCAAAAGCGACAAGCAGAAGGATTATTCGATCTCCGTACGTTATATTGTACGATGACATGGGAGGAAATACGTTCCCTCAAATCCTAAATAAAAACCCTAGCAACATGGTTTGAGCCGCCGTTCGCAGCTCGAACCAGACACAGACGACTAGTCTTCGATAGGTTACCAAAGGACCGATGCCATTAACTCATGGAAAAAATGAGATGATGACCAGAAAACTCTTACCTCTCGAAGTACGACGACGGTGTCTGCTTCAGATGCCGGAAAAATGCAAGTCTGGAAGACAAAGGTTCTTGGCCTACGAAAATCTTTTGTTCTCTGTGAAAAAGGCTTTGGTAACATTGCCTGAGCGCGATTTGTGGGTTTTATAGCGCGTGGATCGGCGTTTGGATTTCCCGGAATTGAAATGACGTTCGAGCGGTAAAGGTTTCTTACCGTTGATCTTGGCCATGTGTCACTCCTTAGCGAGGAAGAGTGAGCGATACGACTGGATGAAGTCAAACTTACACCCTTCCAGTTGAAAAGCTTAAACGACGACCATATCTCTCTCAGAGCATTAATTGCGTCTCAAATCTTCATTTAATGCTCTGGTAAGGTGCACCGTTCCAATGCATGTTGCATTTAATGCCCTGATAAAGCGCACTGTTTCAGCATGCAAGACATTAAATGTGATTGGCTAGTATTCACCACGCAGGGAGTACACATGTCAGGGCAGGAATGGCTTCATTAAATGCCTTCTTGTTATCAGAATAAACGGGTGACATCAGGCAAAACCAGGTCGCTCGTCCTTGGGCATGCAAGGTCGCGCTCATACAAATGCCGCTCCGACCTATTTTCGAACAGATTAAAGTTTTCAGGAATCATCTAACCGCAGCACGACCTTTAGTTTCCAAGGTTCAATCCTCAAACCTTAAAAACTAGGGGGCTTCTGTTACGCCTAAAAATATAAGGGCTGACGTCAGGACCCTTTAGCCCGCAAAAGTCAGACCATTGGAACAGGCACCGTCTGCGTCTGTCAGGGTAGTGGGCACGCGTCAGGCTAGTCAGGAGGCTGTGGTGCTCCCACGTGTCCAATCCCTGCTCTAAATCGCGCAAATCACTCTGGAAGGTGGGCAATGTGACATAAAGAAGGATTTGCACGGATAATCCCACCAACTCGTAGATTTAGTGATGATTGCCTCAAGGAATCTGACTATAAATTAGGAACTCATCTCTCATTAAAGGGATTCGCACCTTTTTCACTCAATTAATTACTCTCTCTCTCTTTTCTCAGCAACCGATACCTTGTAATATCACTGTAAAGTCAGTCAGCTAATAGCGACCTGACTCCTATCATCAATATAAGCATCAATGGGCGTAGGACTTGCTACCTTAACATCCGAACCACTTTAAAAATTGCCTTTATTGCATTTACTATCCCTCATCCATTATTTTCACGTGTGATTTCGGGCCCCCTGCACCATTTTACACGTGCGTTTCATTGGTGCAAAATCCAGCATCAACAACTACACTCTCCAATGGAGTAAATTATCAGTGGCACTGGCACAACACCACCTGGACAGAATAAAAATTTGTATGGGTGCAAAATAAAACCATTCCAAGTCTAAATATGTTTATGTTTAAGGGGGTAGAATAAAATATAATCTTAAAATCTTTTTATATTATGGGATTACTTTTACTTTACACCTAAAAAGGAAGTCCCAACTGTTGGGCAACAAGCTCCTAAAATTAATGCAAAATTTGGGAGAAAACCATCTCAAAAGTTAAAAGTAGAATTTCATATTTGAGATTGAAAATGAGAGTGCCGGTAGCTTATAGATCAACAATTAATAAATCACCACCAAGTAAATTGGCAAGTGAGAATCCGGGCATGAAGACTATCACAGTATGGTTAAAGGCTGAATGCTCACATCTACTCGTCACAAACACATTCCAGATCTATCACTAGAAAGGAATCAAAGAAATGTACAAGGTTTATTTCTTTTTCTCGGAAATGCAACCAAAGACTTAATAAGCCTATTCTAAAATACAATCTGAAATATTATGCCGTGGTACAATATCTAATGCAATCTAACAGTAAAACGACTGGTAGCCAAAATCAAATGAACTTGGTAGTAAAAAGTTGTGAAGAAAGGAAATTAAGTCATTCAAGTCAGCACAACAGGCTGCATTGCGACATCCATTTCCTCAAAGAAAGATCAAGATATTGAAACACTGCACACAACCTCCATAATAGTTAAAACATAGTACGGAGATCAAGATATCGAAACATGGTGCACAAAAGATCCAACTTCCATAATAGTTACGAGATAGTCCGTTCTATGTTTTTACAATATGAATCAATCAATCATCTCAGAATTATGAATAGACTGAATGATTCTACAAGTTAGTATATAAACTAAGATATATAATATATTCATATATAGAAATAAGAATAACATCCTGAAAGTTTATCATCTCCAGTCCAGAGAAATCTGGGTTTCCATCTGACTCTGTTAAATAGAAGACACGGAAACCCAAGATAAATGTTGAGGCCTCCCCTCTACTTCCTGCTAACTGCTAATATTATGATTTATATATACAATACTAGCTACCGGTGGAACTTCTTTCGTCTTCATAGCTCCATTTTCAATTGATTTGAGTGCAGTGTTGCTGCGCCACAATGCAAGTTTGAAGTTAAGACTAATAATTCCATATCCAACAAAAAGAAAAAAAAAACTATGGCTTTTGCCTCTGTTTTTTTCTGATAAGACTAATGGGCTTTGCTTCTTAAGATACTAACATAAATAATGATGTCAATAAATATCAAATTCTACATACAAATTTATATTTAAAAAAAAAAAAATTGCAAATTGCACACAAAAACAAGTCAGCCTTCAATATATCATATGAAATGGCATTCCATTCCACAGCAAACTGAGAAATCAGGGTTTTCTTAGACAAATAAATTAGTAATAAAATGAACATTACTTTTTTAAGTCATTACTTTTAAGAGTTCGGAATTAATTTTAGAAAATGGGACTGGTTTAAGTCATCTGACAATTGGTAATCAAGTGTAATGATTAAATAAGAAAAATCTGTTCCCGATTGAAAATGATTTCTTATCTACCTGAATTTGCGGAGGAGTCATAGCTCAAAAGTGAGTTTTCTGGAGTAACAAAGTTGTGGCTTTCTTCTTCTCTTCCCCAAACAGGCTGATGATGTGCATCCAAATGCCATTGCTGTTGATATTGTTGTCTGCTTGCATTGACTTGAACCTCAGGCCACATTAGAGGCATAACCATGTTGGAAAGGTTACTGTCCATTAGGGATCCACTCTGCAGGTATTAAATAAGAGTCGTAAATGTTAGTGATACCAAAGGCTGCCGTCTGATGAACAGAAAAACACATTTAGCTCAGCTGATGTAATCATTTTGATCCCCATTGCATTCTAATGAATATTTTGGGAGGTGGAACAGGGTGGTCCAAGTCTGACCCACTCCCCTGCCCATATTAATGAAGAAAAATACTCCTTCTGGGACTCTGGATAGGAGTCTCAACCGATGAGCTATATTATAACTACAAAAATTCTTATTTTCCCATTCCACCAACAGAACAGATTATATGCCCATTTACCGATTGAAATTAGTATTACCAAGAATATGATAAACAATCCAGCTACAAAATCAATCAGAAATTACACCCATGGAAAACCTACTTGTTGAATAGGATGGAAAGAGGAAATGTATAATGTACTTACTTCTACAGCCAATGTACTGTCAAGGTTGACATCAATTCTCGGATTCACTGCTGCAAGTCTCATTGATAAGAACTAAAACCAAAGAGAGATACAAATAGAATAAGATCACAGCAATAAAAGCAATAGCAAATAATAAAAATGTTATCAGGACACAATTTTAATGCAGAAAACTTGTTAACTATATCCGAAGTTTCTGATTCATCATAAAGGGATTTGACTTTCACCTGCCTCTTTAGCAATGGATTGGGTGAGAGTAATTCATGTCTTTTTAGGCCCCACACCACCCCCACCCCCCAAAAAAAAAAAAAAAAAAGGAGGCTAATGCAGCAAAATGAGAACTAAACGATAAAATAGGATGACTATTTTTAGGCATCTGACTTTCTTTGCAAGCACTTTTGGTACAGAAAAATAGCACCTAAAAGTTTGAAAATTGGAAGATCATAATATTTTTTAACCCAAAAATAGTGGGCTTAAGGTGCTGAAGGTCACAACTACCTGTGCAAAACCTATTCTAGAAATGTTCCATAGAAAATCCTTGTCAAGTTGAAACCATCTCATTTGTCCAGAAGAAAAAAGGAAAAAGAGAAAGGAAGAAGAAAAGATATAGAAAATTGATGACTGGGATTTGTAAGTCTGACCTCCACTTGACGCTGTAGCGACTGCACATGATTGATGATCTCATCTAAAACTAAAGCTGTACCAGAAATCTGCAAAGCAAAGATTTTCCTAGTCAAACACTATCAAATTAGGTAGTATCAGCTATTTCAATTCAATATCACACAAAATTTCAATTAACTCAATTATTGAAATGTTTTATAGAGAACATTAAAACAGCTTTTTCATCCTACTCAATCAGATTACACATAAAATGAGGTTAATGGGGGCAATTTTTTATGATGCAATACAATATCTTGACCCCTCATGTAGAAAAAGAAGACGACCTTAATGGTTTTGATCAAAAGGTTAACAACATACAAAATAGATGGTAATTGTATTAGCATGGTCATACAGTCCTCTAGTATTAATCTTCCTTACATATGCCAGTATTTGAGAATTATAGATGAAATTCTACAGACTTCAAATTCAAATATTCAACCATGAAATAAATTGTCACTATTTATCAACTACACAAAATAAGAATACAAGGAGAAGAAATGTTCAACTCTATTGGCTAAGTTCAGTCATATAGTCTTTGCTAATTTCCTTTAACTTCACTGTCAGTTCAAACATCTTGCTAAAGTAAAAACCTAGTTTATGTCTAAACTCAATCAATTAATCGTATCACATCAAGTCCTTTAAGAATTAGGTAGGTTAGTCTGGCAAATGAGTTTGTCTAAGGAACCATTCTTTCTAATCATTCCCCATCAGCGATAGATACCGAACTTATCTAAGAAGATAGTACCATGAACCTTTTTGATGCCTCCATGAACCTTTTTGATAGGCATCAAAATTTCTATTTCAATGAAATGGGACCCAAAAGCAATTTGATCCAACACAAGTCCACTATACTTGTCTCCCAAGCGCTTCAATCCAGCTGCTTAGCACTCCTACATAAGATTTTCCTGTGTAATGCCCAGCAAGGGCATTCTCGTCATTTAAACAAGTCCAAAGCGTAATTACGAAACTGACCTTAAAAAGGACTTGTAAGTTGTAACAAACTCTACTCAAACATCAAGGTATAAAAAAGTGAAATTACCATATTGCCATTTGACAACACCATGCTAACTAAGGCATTCCCCACTTATATGAAAAAGAGTGACAAGGACAATACCGTTACTAAAAGCACATAATCTAAAAATAAAAATTTTTCGCTTTTGGAAAAGAATATTCTTAATTAAACCCAAATATCTTAATCAAATTACAAGTAACCTTATTGCATCCTGGGACCAGCTCTTGTAGTAGCTTCATTCGTGCATTAATCTTCTCTCTCCTCGCCTGTCATAATAAAACAATTAATCATCACTAAATAATGATTAAGCATATGATTAGTGATTAATCAAGGGCTAATTATTGAGATTATTACTCTCTCGGCTAAGCTATGGCTATCTGTGGCTTGACCACGACGAGCTCGAACGTGAACGTATGGAAGTTTCTCCGCATCTTCGCTGCTTTCGTTTGCACCGCTTTTGCTCTTCTTTGTCGTTACTTTGACCTGTGACAACACAAATTAAGAAACTAATTTACAGCTGATTGCCAGTGAAAGACAAACACTAGAAACCCTAATTTTATTGTTTGTTTACCTTCTTCTCGCGCTCTTTTCTCTTCACCGACCTCTTATTCTCCGCCGGAGGTGGTGAATTGGGCTTGTTGGAGTCTGATTCTGCCGGTTCGTTCTTTACTTTCCCGAGATTCCCGCTTGAATTTGACGGCAACGACTCCGTAGTTGCCGGCGAGTGATTGTTGTTATTATGATTATTTTTATCAGTAGTAGTATTATTAATGTTCTCTGCAAACACCGAGAATCTCGCGGCGCGTTCAATCAAGGCTATGTTAGATGGAAAAGTCAAGTTTGCCCCAACGGGAAAATGATAGGGTGTGTGGTGAGCATCGACGGTTACTGTGTGGCTGTTTGAGTGAGCAGGCGCAGGTGCAGCAGAGTCGTTGGATTCAGGAGAGTGGTGGAGGAGTTCCATGGCTTGTGGGGCCGGCAGCTCGAGGAGTGCAGTGAAGGAGCTTGCATTTTCTTGTGGTATGGTCATCAACTGTTGAATCTCTTCGTTGAATTGGAAAGAATCGAGGGCGTTTGGGTCCAGTGAGGGTCCAATTGTGCTGGATCTGGGTTCCATTGAAACCAGTTGGAAAATTCTTCAAAAGTTTGAGAGAATTTGATGGTCTAAAAGGAGAGGGATGGGGAGGAGGAGTAGAGGAGTTTAAATGGAAGTGTAGCTTGGTTTGTGGTTTGCTTATGTTATGCTTTTTCTCTGTGTGCAAGAGATTACTTCTCAGCCATTTGAAGTAGAGAGAAAGCAACGTTTCTGTGTTGGGTGTTTGAGTGTAATTATACGGGAATTTTTTACGAGAAAGAAAGAGAGAGAGAGAGAGGACATAGCCATGGTGTACAGTACAGTTACAACTGTACAGTTCGTTGAGATTAGGAGAAAGAAAGTGGAAACGAGAGACGGGGTGCACTTGGGTCCCATCCTATATAATATTATATATTTTTTCTTTAGGATATCAAGATCTATTTTTATCAGATCCAACCGTTTGATTTATTGGCCAAACGACAAACCGTATGATTTGAGTCGGACTGTTTTGTGATGATGAACTTTTTATTTAGTTTCTATTGGTAATGGTATTTAACCAAAGCATGGATTAAGAAATAATATCCAAATGACAATTAGATGAAATAATTGATATGGTAAGGATAAAATAAAACCTTATTATAGTCTATCGATGATGCAGAAAATGAAATTAATTTGTAATTAATTGATTATACCAATAACATGTCATGAATTATGAAAATGACATAAGCTTAAAAATAAAGTATGATTAAGGAATATAAGCTTAGATAAGTGGACTGTTCACAAATTCCGAGATATATAAACAAACTAATCACAACTTTAAAATGTTGCAAAAATCAATCAATAGTTTTGATGATTACAAAAGTTTTGATGATTACAAAACTTTAAACAGGATAACACATATAGCTTCAGTCTATATTCTATAAAGACATCGCATCAGTTGATTTGATAGGGAATCATAATCAAAGAGAATAAAGGGTTTGAGATTAATTACAAACTGAATAAAAATTAATAAACTAATTAATTTTACAAGCATTAATGTTTTTACTTTTTAATGCATCCAAGTCAATAAAAGTGAACGGTTGCCGAAAGCCGAGGCAAGAACCGGAGCGAGCCGTGTTGCGTAAGTTACTGTTTCGGCCCATGGAGCGTGGACCGGACAGGAATCAAGGTCTATTAATCATAGAAGATGACCCATCACTTTCTTGCATTTACTTGTAATCAAAATAATAGTATTATTTTATTATATTTACAGTCTGCTTTATGCAATAGCTAGAGATTTTGACTCTCCCGTTTGACTGCCTAAAATAGAATCACAATTAAGGCCACTTACTTACCAACTTTACTGACTCCTCCAGGGATTTCACTTCATAGCATTTAAGTTTAGAGCATCAATTATTAGGGACGGTTTCATTTGTGATTCAAAAACAATTTTTAAAAACTACAATTACGACTCAAAATTTTAATATTTTTAATATTCAAAAATATGTTTGATATAAAATTTAAAAATTATTTTCTGATTAAAAGCTATAAAATATTGTGAAAACTACTTTTAATTATTTTTTTAATTTTACACTAGTTTTTAAGATTGTATTGTAATTATTTTTTTTTTTTTTTTCTAATTTTTTTTTTTTAATTTTTTTTTTTTTTTTTTTTTTTAAAATTAAATTAAAAATTTTTTTTTAATTTTTTTTTTAATTTGTCCTTAATTTTTTTTTTTTTTTCTACTTTAGATTCTTACTCTTTCATTTAATCATTTGATGGGTCATTTTCAAGCATAGAAAAAGTTTGGTAACAGCTTGTTTATATTTTTGTTAACAATTTTTTTGTAAATTTAAAATGAATTTTAATATTATGTTTTCAAAATATTGGAATATGTATAAGAATTAAATAGGGTATATATATTAAATTATAGTAGTTTTTTTTTTTAATATAATCCTCAGTGTTTTTTTTTTATTTTTTAAAATAAACTCTTATAATTGATTCTAATTAGAACGGTATAACTTAAAGTAAACACATGTAAAATGTTTATATGTTGAATTATAATATAAAGATTATTCACTTTTAATATCAAATTATGAATAAGAAAAATTAATGGCGCTGGTTTTTTTTATTGTACAAAATATATGGTTACATTGCTAAACTAATCACAATAAAAATAATGAAACAATTTTTTTAGGGCTAAGTTATATCAATTTAATTTTTTGACTTAAAATTGTTGCACAAATTTTCAACTTTTGATTTTTTTTTTATCCAACGGTTGTAAATGAGTAGTTACAAATAATTATTTGATGTATTACATTGTCATCTTTTAAAGAGTTGTATTATAAATTATGAAGGATTATTAATTATTATTTAAATTAAATAAAAAAATTAGTTTAAATAACTTATGAATAATTGTTAAGATTTGGAATGGAGGTATATTTAATTGGGATAAAATGTGTTTGATTATCCACACGTGGTCGGTACATCTTAATAGTCAAAAAGGTTAATATTAAAATCATAGATTTGGTGATTGATAAATAAAAAAGAATGACATAATCAAAACAATATTTTTAGATGAAACTTTATTTAAATTAGTCATGGTCACTCAATTTTAGTCTTAAAGAAAACTGATTACTTATCGGACCAAACACCAGACACAATGAAAACACAGAGAAATGTAGAGTTGCCTAAAATATTTTATTATATTATTCCAATAATAGAGTTGCCATTTCAAAAAGTGTAGGCTCTTTATAATTGGTCTCCGGTGTTTAATCTTTTTCTTGTATATATTTCTACTTCAAATCATACCAAAGTTTTCATATGTACCGGAAACTGTCCCTCCTTCAAAACTGAGGGAAGGTCACAGGTTAATGCAATTGCTAAAGAAGACAAGTCACTAAATGCAATTGCTATGGCATTGAAGTACAATTATAGGTGTTCCGACGTTGAAAGTACCCACTTGTTTAAGGTGTGCAGCTAGGTGGTAGGTTGAGGCTGCGGCCGAAGCAGTACCAGAGCAGAGCCTATGGGTTAGTCATGTTCAGGTTTTGGTCACCACTTAATCAGTGGTCTCTTTCTGACATTATTATTACGAGTAAAAGACTTTTTCCCACCCAAGGGTTGGCTAATCTGTAAGTTCCCACCTTGTTTTCTTTAATTGCATATCTGAAGCTTTAAATTAACAGAATCTCAATTCTGTTAACAGTGGAATGGTAGATTCGTTATTTACTTTAATTTGAATTAAAATGTCAACTCTCACCTAGGAAACGTAGCGAAACTTGTAGAATTTAGCAGCTAAATTAGATGTCGATGTCTTCTCGTTTAAACCAAGTCGTAACTTTCTTTCTTCTCATTTGCTCATTTGCATTCCTGAACCAAAGAAAACTAAATGACAACAACCCTTAACCTTCTCCTTCAACCGGTAGATGACTGTAGCCGTTGACAACACCAATAACAATTGTCGACAAGTGGTGGAAGTCAAGTGTCGACCGAAAAAAAAAGGTCAACGAGTAGAGCAAAACCAAACAACAACCCTAAACCTCAAAACCAAACAACAACCCTAAACCTCCTCCTTCAACTGACAAATGACCGTAGTAGTTAACAAGACCGATAACCACCAACGATTGGTGGAAGTCGAGTGTCGACGAGTACAGTAAAACTAAACGACAACCTTAAACCAAAATCGTAAATGACAACTGAAAACCTCCTCCGTCAATCGACAGACGACCGTAACCGTTGACAACACAGATAACCCTAAACCAAAATCGTAAATGACAACCACCTCCTTCAACTGGTAGGCTATGGCGACGTGGTTTGTATCTAGGTATATTGCATCACTTTTTTTTTATGTCTATATTTGTGTTAGGGGGGCTTTGTGGTGGTGTTCATGGTGTTGTTAAGTGATTTTATTGGTGGTCTGTCTTTGGTAGTGGTGGTGATGATGGTGGCAAAGTGGTGATGGTGGTTATGTGATGGTGTTAAGGTTGTGGTGGTGGTGGTGGTGTTAGGGTATTGCTACGGCAGTGGTTGGTGTTTTTTTTGGGTGGTGGTGGTGGTGATGGTGGCTGAAAATATGACAGCATGGTGGTGGTATGGTGGTGGTGATGGTAGGTGATTTTGTTGGTGGATTAGGGTTACGGTTGGTGGTTTGTGTTTGGTAGTGGTAAGGTGGTCGTTGGTTATTTTTTTTTGGTGATGGTAGTGGTTGTGATGGTTGTAGACGTAAAAATCTACCTGTATGGAAGAGAGGGTCTGATCCCGTGAGGTTGAGGCCACTAGCGATCCGCTATACCTACACACGTAGAGAAAAAAATGCGTGAAGCGAACGGAAAACACCGGAGTGGTGTTTGTCGTAGGCACTCCGATGCTCAAGTTAACAAGGCTGAAAGAGGCTAATTTAGTGAGGGTTAGGAAATAGAGAGGTTACTGGAAGTCTAGTCTTGGACTATGACTACGGTAATGATGTATAGCTCTCAAGTAGGAGCTTCGAGTGAAAAGGTGTAATGTAATCTATCTTGTGAGAGGGTTGGCCTCTGTTTATATAGTGAATGTCTGGTCTCCCAATCCTAGTGGGAGTAGGAGTCCTAGTTTGATTATGATACAAACCCTAGAGGAGTTAGGACGGTGGTGAGTTGTCTTACTAGTGCCCGAATAGGAAGGTGATCTGAACAGGAAAGTAGGAAAGTGATCTGAACAGGAAGGTGACCTCGAATAGGAGATTGATCAGGAACAGGAAAATGATATGTGGGAGCCGTGGGCTCTGAACTCGCGTACAGGTCCAAGAAGCGAGCTGGGATTGGGAGGCCCGTGCCCAGATGGTTTGGGCCGGCTATACCTCGTATCAAATGGGTGTAATCCGACTTGGGCCACATTGGGATTGGGCCTGGACTCTTCCTCACTGTAGATCCTGTTTTCCTATTTGGGCCAAGGACGATTTTTGGCCCTAACAATGGTGGCTAACAAAATGATGGTATGGTGGTGGTGATGGTAGGTGATTTTGTTGGTGGATTAGGATTATAGTTGGTGGTCTATGTTTTTGTTGCTGCATGTTAAATTTTTTGGCATGTTTGGGTTATGTTTTTGCCTATGCATGTTTATGTTTTTGCTTTATGTTTGGGTTATATTTTTAAGAGTCTATTGGCTGGAAATCAGTGGTTGTCTTAAAAACTGCCTAACAAATCTTAACGAACTCTGGTGTAACAACACCGTATACCTAGAATTTTTTTTTGGCATGTTCGTATTATGCTACTGTTGCATGTTTGGGTTATGTTTTTGCTACTGCATATTTAAGTTTTTTAGCATGTTTGGGTTATATTTTTGC